TCTCCTGGTGCATGCAGATGGGAGAAGGCCAAAGCCAGGCAAGTATCCTAATCTGGAGACTACAGGGTGGTCGCTGGCTCTGTTCACATCAGGCTAACAAAACCAGTTTTCCAAGCTGTCTTTGTGAAAGAGAGCCTGCCTTCTATTTTATCCCCTAGGTCCCAAGTCGAGTCAGCACTTAAGCAGAGTTGCAAACACTCCCACTTTTGGAAAAGTCCTGGTGATTTTTTCCCTTTTTCTTCCTTTGGGAATGATTGTTCCCCGCTGCTGCTCCAGATCTGCAGACACCTACATTCTTGGCTCCCATCTTCCGCCTACAGGCCTCCTCTTTGCCTTTCTTGAACACACTCTGAAAAAAGTTTTGCTTTTGTAGACTCCCTCACTTGTGCCAAGAGTCATAAATCTTGCAAAGCTGAAACAGACAGGTTTTGTTCTGAATAATAATAATAATAAAAAATCCTCCGACTCTGTTTGTCTGTTAGTGCAATCTCTGGTAGGATATTTCACTAGCTCTTCTCATCTTCTTAGAAGTACAAATGCCATTAGCACTTCTTAGCCCCTTCTGCCTCTGGAGGTGAGAATGGCAGCAGAAACTTCTCCCTAAAGTTCCCACAGCCTCTACTGCCAGTGGTGTCTCCAGCTCAAGTTAAACACAGGGTCTTCTTTTTGTCACTCTGTCCTCAAGTACCTCCCCCAAGCAAAAAAAAAAAAAAAAAATTAAAAATAATTATCACTCACCTCTTGTTGTCTGTCCTCAAAAACGAAAAAAGAAAGTGGGGGGAGGGGGAATGTGGTGGTGTTAAGACAAAATTTTAGAAAATCTGGCCTCCCTTTTCCCCTGCCGGAGTTGGAGATTCAGCCTGGAGATTTGGAAGGGGAGAGGAGGAATAGAGAGGGTGTCAGGAAGAGAAGAAAGGGAGACTCTGAAGGGAGTCACAGCCAGAGGGCGGGAGACCTCGCCACCAGTCCCCAGAGTGAAATTGCTTGGGGGGAAAAAAAAAGTCCTGACGTTCCAACTACGAATGAAAGCACTGGGGCACCCAGTACCCCCACCCGCAGGCAGACCCGCGCCTCAGACCAGGCCTCTGAGCGCTACTTCTCAAATTAGCATAATGGTCTACCAGCGTGTGTGGGAGGGGGAGCAGTGAACTCCACTGGCTTGGCTTTGCCTTCGCTCTCCCCTACCTCCCCCCAGATTCTCAGATTGAAAAATTTACCTGTTCTTAAAAAAATTCCCCAAAACCCAGAACTCAAAAAACCCAACAAAATACAACATCACAACAGATACTCTACTTTTCCTTTATCACTCTTGGCTTTTTTTGGGGGGGAGGATATGATAATAAATCTCCCTCCTCTATCACACCATCACCTTCCTTATCAGGCATCTAAGCTTGCTAAAGGGGGAGAGCTGGGGGCTTGTGTGTGTAAGCTTGTGTGTGTGTGTGTGTGTGTGTGTGTGTGTGTGTGTGTGTGTGTGTGTTTTTCCCTGTGCAAAAGCAGAGGCCATTGTTACCGAGAGTAGGGCGTACCAGTCTTATAGGGCAAGCACACTGTGGCGGCTGGGCCGCACAGCCAGCGCTGAGCCGGGCGCTGCTCCCCGCGCTGGGCCGCCCGCACCTCTCCGCGCTTCTTCTATTTCCCCCCCTCGCCGCTCCCTACCCCCACCCTCCTGCGCACCCCCGCTCCTAAGCCGAGTGAATTGAAGCGGACGCCGCGCGGCTCCTCCGGCCGCTCTGCCCCTCGGGCTCCCCAGCCGGGGTGGCTATTGGGGGGGGGGCGACGCAGCTTTAAACAGTGGTCTTTTTTTCCTTTGCCTTCAAGGAGGGGAGATTTCTCGCCTGCCGCTCGCGCTGGGGCTCGATGTGAATATATATTATGTCTGCCTGTTCTCCCCTCGTCGGTGGCTAAGGTAAGCTGGACTGAAATAGGCTATCAGTTTGTGAATGGCGGAGAGTATGTCTCAATGATTTATGGCCCATATGACTCCAATCTCGGTTCAAGAAGAGTTCACAAGCTTTAAGCTTCCTTCCACGCAGCGACTCTCTCCCTCCCTCCCTCCCTCCCTCTCTCTCACACTCTCTCTCTCCCTCTCTCTCTCTCTTCCTGCTTCTCTCCTTTTCTCCTCTTCTTCCAGCAGCCAGATCCAGGCTTGAATTTTCCCCCGGCTACTAAGAAGAGCCTAACCTTTCTCCGGCTCCCTTTCTTGGTTTTTTATTTCTCTTCCTTCCATTAATATTTTTAGATCTTGGAAGGTGGCCTGTTCTCCTCTCCAGGGGCTTCTCCAGCTATTGTTACCCTCCTCGGCTCTCTGTGAGGGGTGTGCCCCGCTAAGTGGGGTTCTTGGGGGAAGCTCATCTCTCTTCTTCAGCGAGACCCTGGGGGGAAGCCGGGAGCCACCGATCCCCTCCCTCCCGAGAAGCCATATGGAGCTTGAATTTTTCCAACATGGAGGCAAAGGAAATAGACATATTTGGTTTGGTAGAGCTGCTCCCCACCCCCTCTTTTCCTGGATCCCCAGATCGCCCATCTCCACGGTACCTTCCCCTCTTCTCACAGTCCCACCATCCAGGTCCCGCGCCCTCCGGCTCAAACTACGGCCTGGCAGAGTACTGGAGCGGAGTTGCAAAGGCGCCTTTTAATTCGGTTACCTTGGGCGCCCAAACTTGCTGCCGCCTGCGGGGCTCACTCCTCGGCCGGCCTGGTGCGCTGGGAACCAGCTGCTGCTAAGCGTCTGGGAGTCTTGATCTCCTCGCCTTCTTGGGCCAGCATCGCGCGGCCGGTAGCTTGTCTCAGAAGCGGCTCGGATAGCCGGGCGGGAGCAGCCGTGAGCGGACTCTGGCCACAACCCTTCCCGGCCTTGCCTGGCAGCCGGCGGAGCCTTCATTCTTTCCTAGCTTGTCTCTAGCTTCTGTGGTTCTCACAGTCGCCTGGCCTCGGTCCTGCGTCGGTTTAGGGTTTATTGGGGGGGGGGCACAGGGATTTCAGCCCCAGGCGTCTAGTCATATTATTGTTTTATTATCACCATCATCATCATTATTGCTGTAACAATCATCTAGACTAAATAAAGCTAGGGCCCAGCCAGCCAACCCCCTCCAACGTTTTTATTTCATTCTCTTCTCTATCTATTAATAACAAACTCAACTGATGCCTGTTAATTAATTCCCCCTTCAGCCAGGGCTGCTCAGAAGCTAATTTTGGTTAAATCATCAGAGGCTAATGGTAATAATAATAAAAGGATTGGGTCAGCCTGGTCAATTGAACTCCAGTTCTCCATGGAAGGACCTGCTGCTTTGCAGACCCTTGTGGATTACCCAGAAACAAATTCTTCTCAGAAACCAATCGGAACTCAGGGCTACCCTGGCTCCCTTTTGAGTGTAAATCTGTGTCATTAGGAAGGGGATTTATGTGTGGGAGGGACTTCCTTTACCTGCACCCCTTTAAGTTTATTTTCTATTTTTAGTTTTCTTTGGAGTTGACCAGCTGGGCTGAATGAGATTTAAATATTCCAAACATATGTCAGAAGAGGGTCAATCTGGTGGTCAAAGTGTTGAGGAAGACAGGGTGGTGGAAAATGTAGTCAGAAGTTTGAAAACAATCCACAAAAGCCACAGCAGCTTGAATCTTTATTTACCTGACATATTTCAAAAAACCTCAACTGTATAGCAGTAGTGCTTGAGTTTTTGTTGTTGATTATTTTGGGTTTGGAGTTTCTTTTTCTTCTTGCATTAGAGGAGCTCAGTAAGCAGGAGTATCTTCTGTTTTCAACCTAGAGAATATTTTTTAAATTGTTTTGTTGACTTTCCCCCCTCCCCAGACATAATGTTTCTCTTAAAAAAGCACTTTCTGTGCCTGCCGGTAAAAAAGTTCAGCAATTACACATACAGTTCTTTATTTCTTTTGGAGAATCCAAAGAAAATAGGTTGTCAAGAAAAGGGTGGGGGAAATTAAATCTGCTGAGGGTGGGAGAGGAGAGGGGAACTTGGGCCAAATGGTTACAGCACCAAGGAGCCTGGCCAGGGAAAGTGAAACACTCTAGCTCCATTTGGGGAACCCCTAGGGGGCGGGGTGGGGGGGCTGCTGGCTGCAGAGGCCCAGACTTGGCTAGGCCGACTTAGGCTGGAGGTGGCCGTACCTGCAGCATGACCCTTGAGGAGATTTGGTTCCACTAACTTTTAAGGTTAAAAATTTTCATAAAGTTTCTAGTCCAGCTGTTGATACTGTTGTCTTTGTGAGGTAGGAGGTGGGGAGGAGTCCTCACAAAAGGTCCCCTGTTGAACTTGCTGGCCTCTTCTGTCCCTTTCACTTTTGCAAGTGGTCCTCTGGTTATCTTCTAGTCTAGACTTCTAGGCTTGAGTGGAAAAGCTTGGATGGGCTTGGACCAATGCAAAGAGGAGGCAGAGAAGCTTCTTAGTCCAGAGGAGAATGATGATGGAGCTTTTATTTTGGAGTCTTTCCCCCCCTCCCTTTAAGCCACCCTTTCTCAGAGTTGGGGAGAGGGAAGGGGGAGGAGAGGTCAGGGGTTAGTGCCACAGGCAAGGAAGAAGCAATGGCCCTGGTGATAGCAGTAAGATTTTATACCCAGGTGGTCATCAAAAGGGTATAGTCCTTCTTTTGTAAATGGAAATGAAAACCTGTAGGCTTTTTTAAAAAATGAAAGTATTGATAGAAGAAAAATCCATTTTAGATCAGGAAAGTAGCCTCATCGTGTGCTTTGGAAATGTTGGGAGGGGTGAGACGGGGGGGGGGGACCCACAAACTATTGATGTCAGTTTTCTTTTCAGTGCCTAAGATGGATTTGTGTCCCAGTCCTCTTCTCCCCCTTGTGTCTCTTCTCTCACTCCACAGGTCAGCCGCTGCCAACAGACTCCAGAGGAGGGGGAAGGAAAGGAGTCGGGGGTCCCGCGTGTCACGTGACCCCCAGGGGTGCCAATGTCCGGTTGTGAGGGTATCAGGCCCTTGCAAGTTGCCACCCACTCCGAGGGCGAGGGCCTCGCCCAGCGATGCAGAAAACCACCTACTACGACAATACCGCTGCTGCACTCTTCGGAGGCTATTCCACGTACCCAGGCAGCAATGGCTTCGGCTATGATGGGCCCCCCCAACCCTCTTTCCAGGCGGCCACGCACCTGGAGGGTGATTATCAGCGCTCAGCATGCTCACTGCAGTCCCTGGGCAATGCTGCCCCACATGCCAAAAGCAAGGAGCTCAATGGCAGCTGCATGAGGCCCAGTCTGGCCCCTGAACCCCTGCCCGCCCCACCCGGCTCACCCCCACCCAGCGCTGCACCCACCAGTACCACTAGCAACAGCAATAACGCCTCCGGAGGGCCCAGCAAAAGTGGCCCCCCCAAGTGTGGCCCTGGCTCCAACTCCACCCTCACCAAACAGATATTCCCCTGGATGAAAGAGTCGAGGCAAACGTCCAAGCTGAAAAACAGCTCCCCCGGCACAGGTACCAGCTCTATGACTTCCTCTTCCTCAGCTTTTGTCCAGGTCAGGAATGCAACTGTTATTCTAGCACCCAGACCCTCGGCGCCCAGGAGGCGGCCTGGGGTGCAGGGTTGGGAGCAATATCAAGTGGCAGCGTTAGAGATGCATTCCGCCTACCTCCCACCACCTGATGACCTTTCACCCCAGCACCCTCTCATCTCAGGCCCACCCTCCCAGCTTTTGAGAACTCCGGGAGGCCTGCCACTGGCCTTGGAGCCTCTCAAGGCCGCAGAGCCTAGAGGCGCTGCCTTGAGGGCACAGCCGCTTCAGCGATTGATTATTATTAAGTATGATTACTATGGGTATTAATCACCCAGCCGGCCCTGGCGTCCCGGCCTCTAGGCACGGTGGCTCCTTTGCACCATACCTCGGTTGCCTACTTAAAAATGTCCAGATACCCTCCAGGCTTTCCTTAACCACTTGTCCCCTACAAGGCGGGGATAGGGGTGGGGGTGGGAGCGTGTGTCTTCCCAGACCTGGAATTAGGGGTAAGGAAGAGAAAGGACGCGCGCGCGCGCGCAAACCCAACCCTAAATAAATGGCCATGCAGCTCTGTCTGCGTGACATGATCAAATTTTCATAAGCTGGGGCAGCGCGAGGAGAACAGGTCTCTTAATAAATGCCACTATTATAGAGTGTCCGCTAATACGACGGGCGGGGGGGGGGGGCTGCTAGACTGCAAGGAGGCGGGGACGGGAGAGGGCGGGCGGCGGGGGCTCCAAGTCCAGGCCTGGATTTATTAAGAAACGATGCATTCAATTTCGGCGTGTTCAGTAATTATCTTTTATTTCATTTTCTTCCCTTCCCACCCCTCCCCCTCGGATCCGGCAGAGGGCTGCGGCGGTGGCGGAGTTGGCGGTGGCGGTGGAGGTGGAGGCGGCGGCGGTGGGGGTGGTGGCGGCGGGGGAGGAGACAAAAGCCCCCCCGGGTCGGCGGCGTCCAAGCGGGCGCGGACCGCGTACACGAGCGCGCAGCTGGTGGAGCTGGAGAAGGAGTTCCACTTCAACCGCTACCTGTGCCGGCCGCGCCGCGTGGAGATGGCCAACCTGCTGAACCTCAGCGAGCGCCAGATCAAGATCTGGTTCCAGAACCGGCGCATGAAGTACAAAAAGGACCAGAAGGCCAAGGGGCTGGCCTCGTCGTCGGGGGGCCCTTCCCCCGCCGGCAGCCCCCCACAGCCCATGCAGTCCACCGCCGGCTTCATGAACGCCTTACACTCCATGACGCCCAGCTACGAGAGCCCGTCCCCGCCTGCCTTCGCCAAGGCCCACCAGAACGCCTACGCGCTGCCCTCCAACTACCAGGCCCCTCTCAAGGGCTGCGGCGCCCCGCAGAAGTACCCCCCAACCCCGGCTCCCGACTACGAGCCCCACGTCCTCCAGGCCAACGGGGGCGCTTATGGGACGCCCACCATGCAAGGCAGCCCTGTGTATGTGGGCGGGGGCTACGCGGATCCGCTGCCGCCCCCTGCCGGCCCCTCCCTCTACGGCCTCAACCACCTTTCCCACCACCCCTCGGGGAACCTGGACTACAACGGGGCGCCCCCTATGGCCCCCAGTCAGCACCACGGACCCTGCGATCCCCACCCCACCTACACAGACCTCTCCTCTCACCACGCGCCTGCTCCTCAGGGTAGAATCCAAGAAGCGCCCAAACTAACACACCTGTGATGGGAGAGCACAGACGGAGGGGAGAGGTGAGAGGATCAGGCCAGGGAGGACAGCCTGTGGGGATGTGAGCTCTGGAAGGCAACCATGGAGGTCTGAAAGAGGAGGCAGGGAGGCTCTCTAGGAAGAAAAAGCTTCTAGCACCTTCTCCCCTGGTCTGAGAAGTGACTTTTCAGTTCTCCAGCTCCTTATTCTATCTGTCTGCCAACCCATCCAAAAGCAGATCCAACCATAGCAGATTGGAGATGATCCTATCAATCCCAGAGCTCCAGCACTACCAGTCAGAATTCCACGCTGGGGCGTAGGGTAGAGGAAAAGGAGTTAGGAAAACAAGGCAGATAAGCACATTTTAAAAATGTAAGAAAAACCCAGACAGGATGGCTAGGCCATCACCAACCAACTTACCTTCCATCTGTGGGCAACTCCCCCAACCTTGACTTTTTGTTATTCCTCTCTATTCTCTTTAAAAAACAAAACAAGACACATTTAAAATCCAAGGGCACAAAACACATTTCCCTCCTGATTCCCAGAGGCCTCAGGCTTGCTCCCATCTATCTGAGGTTGGTTTGGGACACTTCCCCCTCTCAATTTCTAGACTTATATTTTTCTGCTATTGGACATTATTTACCTATATTCTGTCCTCCATTGATTACCATTTTCAGAGGGCTCAGGGATGAGAGATCCTGAAAGTTAGAGCTGCCTAACTAGATATATGCCTAAATAGATATATTTTTTTTTCTCCTTTTACATAAAAGTTAGGAGGCAGCAAGGTCAGGACAGAAGGCTTGCCCATCCTGCTGCCTCCTAGCAAGGCTCCAGGTCCATCTGCCTCTCTCCATAGAAAGCAATCAGTGACACGAGGTTCTAGACTTTTTCTTTCCTTCTGTTCTTCTCTTGACTTAACGTGAAACAGGGTATATTTGAACAAACTGTCTGTCCTAGGCAGGGGCTATAGCTTGGCCTGTGAGTCTGGCTCAACCTTCCTGTGAGGACACTTTTGTTGCACTTAGAGTTTACACTTTAATGGATATAAAAACAACTGAGAGAGATGCCTGGGCCTGCAGGCGTCCAGCATCGCTCAAAAAGCGTGTGTTCTAGTGAACATTTTCATATATATTTATTGGTTATAGCCTGTTAAAATATTTTCTTTTTGTATTATTTATCCCCTGACATTATGTATTTATGAGGGACAAAAAAAAGGAAAAAAATTGTACTTTTTTTAGTATTTACTTGTAATAAAGGACGTTGTGTTTTCCTGTCATGTAAAACCAGCTATTTTAGTTATTCTTGTATTCTAGAAGAGCTGTAGATTTATGTTAAACTCGTACTTATGAGCAATTGTAATTAGTTTAAAAGGCATGAACTCAGCTCCTAATCGTCACTGTATAGTCCTGAATTTGTAGAATTAAGAATTATTCTCTCTTGGAACTTTCTTTGTTCTTTGTAGTTACTTTTTTCTTCACTTAAGAGGGTTGTCTGTCCAACAATTCTTGAATAAACTTTCTGTTATCAATTTTATCTTGTCCTGGTGGTCCAATTTAGTGAGCAGAGCCAGGCTGTTCACTACTAACTTTCTCTGTCGGCAAGTCCCCCAAACCATTGAAGAAGGCCTTAGAAAAGCCTATTCTGGCTTTATTGTCTACGCTCAGGCTTAAATGCAGTTTTCCTCACTCACATAAGCCAGGGACAGTTTGCTAACCTCCTTAGCAAGGGTTGAAGTAATAAGTTAAGGAGGAGGTTTCTTGAGCCTCTCCTTCTTTTAGGCCTCTTTCCTTTCCATTACTCTCACTGACCTTTAGTCTGTTCCTCCTCTGGCCACTACCTTCAGGAAACTCTCCCTCTGCCGCCACCACCCGCAAAAACCTGGCCCTTTGCTGTTTCTTCCATGCAACCTAAACTTCACAGTCCTCTTCCGGAGAGCCACAAAGCCGTCACGTGACCCGAAGCCCTACCACCATTGGGTCTAAAATGAAAACAAAGGAAAATGATTAATCTTTAAAAAAAAGTAATAATCTGAGGCACTAGACCTCTCAGGCCAAGCTTTAAAAATCTAAAGTGAAATTAAATCACTAAATAAAACTCGAGGAGGAGGGAGACGAAAGAGGAGGAAGCAGGGGATCAAAGTGTAAATAAAATGGTCCCCAGGCTCATGTGCGGCTGTTTCCACATCCTTGGGAAAACTTCATTTCTTAGTCTTGGTTCCATAAAAGTTTTATCACACTGAAGCGAGGATAGAGAGGGTCTGTCAAAGATGAAATGTCACCGCCGCGTCGCTGGAGCCGATAAGAGCTCGGAGACAGGGTGGTTGAAATATGGAGCTAATTCGTTGAAAGAGAAGCGATGGCTGCTTGCGGAAGAGTTGCATAATTCTAATTGTAAGCGATGCGCCTGTATTGCTTCATTAGAAGCATATATTTGGTGATAGTGAAGGGGGGGTTTGTCATTGAGAATCATTCCAGGCCCTCCGCCTTAAAGTGAGAGCTGATTTTCATTTTTATTTTGTATCCTGGCAGTCCAAGGTTAGTAATTACAGTCTTTATGCAACAATAAATAACAATAAAAAGCAACCTGAATTCGACACCCTCCACCCCCACCCAGCATCACCATCAAGTAGGATTTTCACTGGACTCTGAGCATCCAAGCAGCAAGCAATTTAGCATTGGGTCAGACTATAATTTAAAGGCATACGAGCGTGCAAAGTTTGATTGGGATCAAATAACGCTCAAGGGTTTGTCTGTCTTTCTTTTTCTCTTTCCCTCCCTCTCTCTTCCTCTACTCTGAATAACATTTTCTGGGTGATGTAACCAGATGAAATGCCAAGTTTGACTCTGGGGGTGGAATGGTGGATTGATTATTTATCTAGGAGAGAGGCAGGCCAAGAGGAAGGATTCAGTTTGAAAACCAGAGCTTTGGCCTAAAAGCTGAAAAGGCAAACCAAGAAAAATAAGGGCTGATGTGGCTTGGTGTCCACAGTCACTTCTCTCAGAAATTCTAGGCTAAGGGGTCAGAGATGTGTATAAAATATCTGGGCTATAAAGTCACAGCACAAAGAGGGGGAAGGGACGAGGGAGTAAAGTCTCTAGGAAGGAGGTCTGTCTTTGGCCCCTTTTAACACCCAAGTTTTTTTCACATTTCTCTAATCTAGCTGTAAAATCTGTCAGTGAGGTTTAGAGAAAACTGTATTTCTCCTTCAGGGACAGTCTAAGCTGGCCGCAGTTGCTAAGACAAGTAAGTGTTCAATTCTTCAGCCAGCTGTTAAAATTCACAGGGCTCCTTAAGGGGGCTAAACCCGAGAAACCCCCATTTAGGCCTCACCGCACAGTTTTCAGACAGTTACTATTAACTTCTTCTGTGCCACTTCTTCTGGCCCTCTCCCTTGAAAAATCTGCAAATACGGAAAGTGACTTTTTTTGAGTCAGGTTCAGCACAATCATTTTTGACCAGTTTGTCCTGTTTTGGGTTTTCTCTGCTTCTGCAGTGCCCCACCTCCAATGCCCCTTTTTCTCTATCCTGCCTCCCTTCCACCCCCACCCTTCTCCTGAGCCTTCTTGGTCCTTTTAAAATACTCACCACCACCCACGCAGATGTTACACTGACAGAAACTTTCTAGCTCCAGCGCTCGGCAGGCTGAATTGCCATTTCTCTGCTAACCAGCCTTCTTCTCCAGGCCAGGCAGCAGAGTGAGGAGGGGGAGGGGAGGGAAGACCAGAGCCGTGGGAGTTCTCCAGACAAACTTTCCACCCAACTTAGCGCCCTTCCCTCTATCCCCATTTCCCATCTGTTTCCCTACTCTCCCAGAATCACCCTTCCCTTTTGCTAATTGTGTCCCCCCTCCACACGTCTTTTTAAGGGACGCAGAATTTGGCTGTCCCTTCAGCTTTCCCAAAGAGCTAAATTCTTTGATGCAATCGGAGGGACCTGTCAGGGGGCTAAGATTGATCGCCTCATCTCCTCTCAGTCCCTCTGACCCACTTATTTAAAAATCTTCCCTTAGACCGACTTTTCATTTTCTGCTTTGAGGTCTAGTTTCCCACCAATTGCTTGAGGCTCTGTTTTGTGTCACCCGCCCCCCTCCCAAAGTAAATTGCAATACTTTCTAAGTTGAGATTATCTTGGTCTCCCTCAAAACAAATAAAACCGAAACCTCAAAACGTATTTTTTGTCTCAGAGTCAGAAATACATGGTCATCTCAGTGATTATTACTTCTATCCTATTCGCTTGCCAAGAATTATCTTCAGGGATTAAAAATAAAAAACAAGACACCCACAAGTACAGTGGTAAAATGGGGTTAGGGGAATCTCTTTGTCCAAGAGGGGAAAAGCACCCCTTACACACACTTGAAAAGGCATTAACTTGAGTTTGTCTTTTTGTGCTTTAAGTTGAACTAGTGACTGCTTTGGTTCTTGTTTTGTGGCCCTGGAGAGAAATGCACATAAAGGCTTGAGACCTGAGTGGGCGTGCGTGCGACTGCATCTTCAGTAAGAAAGATATTTCCAGATGAGAAAGGCAGGTGCAGCATCAGTGTAGAAAATCCCAGGCCAAGGAAGGGACCCAGACCACACAGCTATGGAGGCCACAAGCCCATAAATGATCCCTCACCATCTATCTCACTCCTCTGTGTCTGTCTGAGAGTGCCTGTCGATTTTCAAGATTTAACTGTTGCTTTGGGGCAAGGGGGGGCGGATAGTAAATCTCTTCTCTTTCTTATTTGCACCTCAACACTGACTTTTTCTAAAGCAGTGGAAGCCTCTTTCAAACTTCTCTTCCTCCCACTTGAGATCCTCACTCCTCTTTCTTATTTGGGGGATGGGTGGTGAACATTGCTGCGCGTCATGTAAAGAAAGTATTAATTTACTCTATTAAACGATGTTTAGCAAAGAGGATGATGTCTTTTCTTCTTTCCTAGGCCATTAATGAGAAGGAGATGGAGGACGAGATGTTCTAGCTTTCTAGAGGAAGGGAGGCGTTGCGGGGAGGGAGTGTGAAGCACTGGTGTAAAATTGGGAGCTCATGGTGTCCAGGTCGTGGTCCTCTGGAGTTTTTGAATCAATTAAAGCAAATAATGCTCTCTGTTTTCCACCAGGCCCAGGCGAGCGATTGGCCGAGGCCGGTCCCGTGACCACGAATTCCCTGCAATTTCGCCAGAGTACTAGGTTTAATAGAGAGAGTCCCCATACGCTTGTATTTATCAGCAATATACAATTATAAAGGCCCCCAATTTTTTAAAAAAGAGAGAGCAAGAGCGAAATCTCCCCCCTCCCAAAATCGCTCCATCACATAAAACTGGGGGGGGCAGGAGGGGGGGTCCCTTCCGATCCTCCCTCCTGACACCCCCCCAGCGGGCCCCCTCCCCCACCACTGAAAGCCATGAATTTTGAATTTGAGAGGGAGATTGGGTTTATAAACAGCCAGCCATCGCTCGCCGAGTGTTTGACTTCCTTCCCCGCTGTCTTGGAGACATTTCAAACTTCATCAATCAAGGAGTCGACATTAATTCCTCCTCCTCCTCCTTTCGAGCAAACCTTCCCCAGCCTCCAGCCCGGCGCCTCCACCCTTCAGAGACCCGGGAGCCAAAAGCAAGCCGAAGATGGGCCCGCTCCTCCGCCGCCGCTCCCCGCAGCCCCCCCGGCCCCGGAGTTCCCTTGGATGAAAGAGAAGAAATCGGCCAAGAAACCCAGCCAAAGCGCCACGTCTCCTTCCCCGGCCGCCTTCAGCATCCCGGCCTCAGGGGTCGGATCGCCCGCAGGTCGGTAAGCAGGGTGGGGGTGGGGTGATGGGCACGGTTAGAGGAGCGAGAGAAAGAGCTGGGGGGAGGGTGTGGTAAAAAAAAAAAAGACCAGCCTGTTGGGGTTCCTTGCCCCTCTGGATTCCAGGAAGGGGGACGCACACTATCCCGGTGGGATTCAGGCCTGGCCGCTGCCAGCATGCTTGCCCCTAGCAGATTTTGGGCTATGGCTGGGGGAGAACCTTTTCTCTGCTCCATGGAAAGAAATCCACTGGGGTTAGGAGCAGTGTTGCATCCGCGCGGGAGGAGATGCGGTCACCCCCTCCCCCAGTCTAGGAGAACAAGGGCAGATCTGAGAGCCAGAGAGAAAATGGGGTGAAGAATAATCCTCCTTTAGGAAACTTCTTCCCGATGGAATTGGATAGTATAGAATAGAGGGGCCCACTTAAAGGATTTGGGATATTGACACTGAAATTCTGGGTGGAACCCTGTGCGGCCCGTGGGCGGCTTTGAATGCGCTGCCCGGGCCTGGGCCTCCGCTGCCAGGCGAGGAGATGAGGGAGGGCAAGGACTGCAAAGCAGTCAAGGGAGCTGCTTCGGCGGGGCTGGGAGGAGGGTCCCGCTGATGTTTTTGGCAGAGGCTCGCTGCTCAGCCCGGCTGCCGGTGGGCGGAGGTCGCGGCCCTTGCTGACTCGCTGCCTCTGTCGGCAGATGGCCCGGGAGCGGCGGAGGCCGCGGGCGGCGGGGCGCGCAGGCTGCGCACGGCTTACACTAACACACAGCTGCTGGAGCTGGAGAAGGAATTCCATTTCAACAAGTACCTGTGCCGGCCGCGCCGCGTCGAGATTGCGGCCTTGTTGGACCTCACCGAGAGGCAGGTCAAAGTCTGGTTCCAGAACCGGCGCATGAAGCACAAACGGCAGACGCAGCACCGCGAGTCGTGCGACGGAGAGCACACTGGCCCAGGCGTCCTGGAGGACCCGGGTGACGAGTCCGCGGCCAGCCCTGGCGGTCCCTCGGGCCCGCGGGAGGCTCGGGAAGCCAGCTTCTACGCACCCAAGTCGGCCCCGGGGCCCGCGAGCTTGCCTGAGCCCCGGCCTCTGGCCGCAGGCATGGAGGGCGCAGGGGCGTGGAGCCCGGGCCGCGAGCTGCGCGCGGCCGTGGCGCAGGAGCCGGAGCCTTTGCAGGAAGACGCCTTCCTTGAGCAGCAGGATTCACCTTTTCTGCCCGACCTCAACTTCTTCGCGGCCGACTCCTGTTTGCAGCTCTCCGGGGGCCTGTCGCCCAGCCTGCAGGGCTCACTTGACAGCCCAGTTCCTTTTTCCGAGGAGGAGCTGGACTTCTTCACCAGCACGCTCTGTGCGATCGACCTGCAGTTCCCCTGACCGGATCCTTGGCTGGCCTTCGAGCCCCGGCCTCCTCGGCTGTCTGCAGGAAAAACCGTGATCTCCTTCGCCCCCCACCCCAGTCCCATAGATCTTTTTATGTGATTTGCTAAAATTCAGGTATCCTTGAGTTAGTGTTTAATCTATTCCTTTTCCCTCCCAACCCCCGAAAAATATTGGACACTTGGGCTTTTTTTAAAACCCACGCAGAAAAATTCCGTTTAGTAGACTCCATCCAACGAAATCTCAGGAATAATTAAACTCTAGAGGGGGGACTTTCTTAAGAAGAACCTATTTTCCTTTTTTTAAGTTTTAGACTGTAGATTTATTTATTAAAATTCTTAAGAATAGGGAAAGGGGAAAGTATTTATTGTACATTATTTTCATAGATTAAATAAATGTCTTTATAATATGGAAACGAGTGTTTTTGTTGGGACCCTGGTCAGCCTTTTCCCCCAAGACTAGCCTCAGGGGTTGGCTCAGAGGAGTTGGGTGGTGAAGTCCGGGTGGTACAAAGGTGAACGACTTGGTCCGAGAAGAATGAGGGTTTTCAGGGAACGCCATCAGCTACCAACTGTAAGACAGGCGGTCTTTGCTCCAGCATGGGTGTTTCCAGGGTCTATGCTGGCTTTAATGGTTGGTGGTGGGCAGAGAGGGTGGCCAGATGTACAGAGGGGAGGGCACTTTCTCGCATCTGGCTGACTTAAGGGGGGGCTCCTCAACTCTGGCTTCAGTGCCCTAAGCGAAATTGAGGGTCTTTTTCTGAACGTGGTCAACCAAAGAGAGGCCTGTGTGCATGGTCAGAGCTTCTGGGGTTCAAAGCATGGAGTAGGGGGATTTCTCCAAAAGCAAAGCCTTATGCCCAGTGATGGGAACTGGCTTCCAACTGGGAAAAAAAGGTGGCCCGAGAAATATGGCTCTGCTGGAAGCCAGTGCTGGCACCCGCCCTGTCTTGTCTCAGGGCTGAGTTGGGAGACTGCGTCTGAGGACCTGCCAGGCGGCCAGCGTATGGAGGCCCGGGAGGCAGGGATGCGTGAGGCCTGCAGGGAGCGAAGGAGGAGGCGCAGAGCGGGAGGGAGATGGGGAAGCGAGGAAGATGCTCAAAATGGCGCTGGGGCTGGGCGCCAGGGAAGGCGAGGGAAGAGATTGTAGCCGCCATGACAGCCACCTCGGGATGTGCCCGGTCCAATCCTGGAGACTCGCCCTCCACCCTCATCCTTGTCCACAGATCGCTCAGACCAAAAGGAAGAGAGAGAATTTGGGAGCCTCCCTTTGATTTTTGGTTTTACAAATGAAACCTAAGGATGTAGTATGGAGTGGGTGCAGGACTAAATGGAGGTGAAGGCAGACCCGGAGAAGTCCTTTCTGATCCTCCACTCTGGGATTTGAAGCCCTGAAAGGATGTTTCACAAATGCAGACTCACCTGCATTTTACTAACCGTGTCATAGTCTATCATGGCACTCCTTTACACACACACACACACACACACACACACACACACACACACACACGTCTCACATGCCAGGCTCCTTGCAAACCCAGAACACAAGGTTCAATCTCCTCTTTCTGCCTCCTGGTTTGTTCCAGAGAAATGTGGAGATTTAAGGGACCCCAGAAAGCCATCCATCCTCCTTAGGTTTATTTAATATTTCACCGGCTCAGAAACAGACACCACAGGGCTACCTCCGCGGCAGATGCTGTTGCTCTCTAAAAGCAGTTTATTTCCTGGGCCTCCCAGACTTTCCCCTGGACCAGCAGGACTGGGAAGTGATGCACCAGGCACTGAAAATCAGCTTCTGTCAGGGTAAGCTAGGAGCCAAAATATGTCATGACACATAGGATGAGACAAGCCCTTATATATACATTTTATTTATTTCTTTATTTATTTTTAAAACACATCTCTTATTGTGGGAAGTACATGCATCTTATTTGGCTGAAATTTTCTCTCTTAAACTGTCTTAATGTAGTATTCATCTCCTGCATTAAATAATCTTATGTCATGTTAAATTGAACTTATTTCTTTCATAAATAAATTAATATGAAACAATTAGATGTGTTAGTATAATAATATCATGTATCTTATTAGTTTATTTTTGCTCATAAAATATATAGATATGGAATAAATTCAAGATATTAAAGTAATAATACACAGCTTATTGGCTTGTATGTTTATTTTCCCCATAAATAAGTGAATATACTATATATTAAAACCACACTATACATCTCATTGGACTTTGTGTTTATTTCTCTATAAAATATACCCACAGGCAGTGTTTCACATCTTAAAAAATCACAGCACATAACCATCTCTATGCTAGCAGAGTGAGATAGATGTTTCAGCTGGATACTTCGAGTTCTATGGACAGCCAAAGCGGATAATTTGGTCTAATTAAAAATGCTTTCTCAGCTATAGCAAGTTGTATGTGTTACAAAGATCAAGGATACCAGGAGGACCCTGCTAATTGCTCATTTTCCAGCTTTCTTTGGTCAACAAGATAGCACCTTTCATCAAAGTTTAAAATGAAGGATCTGCTCTTTTGGAAAGAATTCACACCCTGAGATCACTACTTGGTTTTGGCAGTACTCATGCTTCAGTTGTCTTGTCCTTGTTGCTCAATATGGTAGTCAGTCGGTCACTACCTATGAGTTAGAAATGCAAGCTTCTAGGCCCCACCTCCACTGAATCAGAATCTACCATACCATGAAATAGATATGCAAGTTATTTATATGCATGTTCATTAAAGTTGGAGAAGTGCTGCTAGGTCACAGTGCCACCCTGCTTTCTACCTCCCTTTCACGCTAAATAATTTTTCATTCATTTTATTTGGCCTCTGCCCTCTGAACCTGCCCTAGATTTGTATCAGACTAGGGGAAGCTTTCATGGGTTAGTGGTAAGGAATTCATGCTGCCAACTCAAAGGCATAAGATTTGAATCCACCAACTGCTGTCTGGGAGAAAGATGGACAATCACCTCTTGTGCAATTTACAGCCTCTGAAAACCCATTGGAGGATCAGCTATGGGCCAGTTATAACTCTATGGTACACAAGTGGCCCAAAGGCCAGGGGGCTCTTGGCTCAGGGAAAAGGAGTTATGGTGCCAACCCAAAGGCATATGGTTCGAATCTAGGAGTTTAGCTATGAATCAGTTCTGACTAGAGGGTACTTAACAACAACTTTACTTCTGCCTGAAGCTTCTTCTGTCCCAGCTAGAGTGAGGGAAGAATCAGGAGTTTCCGGCCAATGGGTTAGTCATGAAAATGGTTAGAATTAGATACTTCCTTCTCCTTGGCTGAATATTAGAGAAGAGATGGAGAGCTTACTGAAAACAAGTCTTTCTTTTTCCATCTCCAAAGGCATCACAGCAGAATAAAAAGGCAATGCATTTTTTTGAGGGACATGTCTACCCTCTTGAATTTCTTCATTCAACTTCACATTTAAGAGGATATCTAGGAATTTGAGATTTATGAAGGATTGAGACTTAGGATATCTATATTTCAAATGAGCTCCTCATCTCTGGGTCATCTCCTTCAGCCTCAGTGTTCTCATTTGGCAATGGAGAAGAAAGGGAAAAGTTGTAGTTCCAAGATAAGGCATATGATCCTTCTGTCCTGGGGTGGCAGATTAGAGGGCAAGGCTAAGAGACTACAATCACATTTTATGTTGATCTGGTAGGGCTTCAAGGGGTGGGACTATTCCTGAGTCAGAACTAATTGTGGGGGATCTGTCACAGAGCTTGGTTATAAATCTGTGGTTGGAATGGGAAGGTTTCAGGGCAGCCCGGAGGCTGCTGGTCAGTCTGTCCGGCTCTTGGTGAGTCATTCTTAAAAGAAGAATGGCTCATTTATATTATGGTGAAAGCAAAGGCTCATTAAAGTACGGAATTATTTGCAATCATAATAACTCTGAGTCATTAAAAAAAAGAAGACTTCTGTCTGGACAAATCCCTTCCTCTTTTTGAACCTCAGTTTCGCCATCTGTAAAATAAATGGAAGAGCTAAATTCTTCTAAATAATAATAATAATAATAATAAGTGTACCATCAAATAAGCTCTGACTGGTACAGGAGGAGATTGCCCCTCCTTCTCCAGCAGAGCATCTGGTGGATTCAAACCGTGTATCTCTGGGGTTGCAGTGCAGCTTCTTGCCACTAGGCCACCAGAGCTCCCCTAAATTCTTCTAATTTGCTCTCTCCATTGATGTATGTCACCAATTTAAAAAAAATTTCACAAGCAATTATTAAATGTTTATTATGGCTATTGTCTTGGAAGCAGGAATGGCATCCACTTCCGTAAATAGCTTGCCTCTGGAAACCCTATGAATCTGGAGAAAAGATGAAAGTCATACACGCAGGTGTAAAGGACTTTTGTTCATAGGGTCACTATGAGTTGCCTATGACTCAACAGCACTTAAGAACAACAACAACAACATGGCTATTGTCATATGCTCTGTGTAGTCACGGTGATCTTGGTGTTTGACAATAACATCCCTCCTGAATATCTGGTAGAGCCATTTTAACAAATGCTAATTTGTACCCTGACACCATCATACACCAACCATTATTTACATGATTAGGAAACAAAGTCTTTCCAGAAATAATGTGTTGATTGCAGTGCTGTGTGTCAGGTACCAAGTACTCAATAAAAACAACAATATTAGAAAATGTTCTAGTCCACTTTTCCACTGGTTTTCATCTTCTCTAATGTTTGTTTGTACAAGTTGTCATACGTGGTCACTTGTAGTTGCTATGAGGCTGAACACTGTGACACTGATGTGTCAAATGTGTTAATGGTTGGCTACCCAATGCAGACAGAGAGTGGGGTGGAGCTCCCTGATTAAAACAAGCGTGGAAGGAGGAGTGGCATCCACTTCCATAATAGCTTGCCTCTGGAAACCCTATGAACCTGGAGAGAGGATGAAGGGCACCCAAGCGTCAAGGACTCTCCTTCATAGGGTCCTTATGAGTCCCCTGCGACTCAACAGCACTTCACCACCACCACCACCACAACAATGTTTATGTTTACTCTTGCATAAAACAAAGAAGACTATAAAAAAAAAAGCCACTCAACTTCTTTAACCTGCTATTCTAGGCTTGAAAATCTCCTTTAGTTATGGTTTTTCTGGTTACCAGGACATTAGAACATAAAATCTAGGTCTCGCTGAACAGCCCTGCTAAACTCTACAGACTTGCCCTCCAGGTCTCCATAAAGAACTTTCCTGCACATCATTCTGAAATGTGTTCAAACTCATGTCTTAAGTTTGCAGAAGGTTGCTATCAGCTCTTGCACTTATAACTCAGATCTTCTACTGACCTCTCCAACCCAGAGTGCCTGAACATATCTTGTGTCTGAAGGAAATATAGTGAACTGCCTCCTCTTTAGAGAAAATAAGAAAATTGAAGAAGCCCTATTAAAACCTACTCTTACTTACAAATACTACATTTTAACAAGATCACACTTTGAGAAGTCACTCAATTATAAGCTCAGTTGTCTGCAGTATTCAATAAAGATTCTAATGTGGATTTTTTTGGCTCAAACTATCTCATTTAGATAAAATTATTTAAAGTCTTCATGCTATCCTTATGTTTCTTTTTTTAAAAAAATTCTCTATCTGTGGCTTATCTTTCACTCCAGATAAAAATTTACTGTCTGCTGGTCTGGATCACAGAGGTCAAGTTCAACTCCCTCAAGGAAAAAGAGACATCATCTTCCCTAGAAAAAGTTTCCAAATATTTCGAAAAACTAGGAGGCTCTTTCTAATACTTAATTTCAAACTTTTTCCTACAATTTTTATAATTTTGTTTTCTTTTATAGATAAAAATATTAGACTTCAGTTTTGAAAATACTCTTTAGTCTACAAGAAGACAGTAAGCATTCTCAATTACCAACATAATTTGCATATGATAAAGTACATATGGCGATATGTTACCTGTAAATACAGAACATAGTCTTCTCTTATATCTCGCATTTCTGGGGGTGGGGTGGGATGGGGGAAGCTGGCAAAACTTCCAGAAGACTGATTCACACTATGTCAAAATGTACATATAATGTTACCGTGCACTTATTTCTGTGATTTATATTTTCATGTTTGTTTTAATCCTACTAGTAATGCATCCATTTTCTGTAAGAGGAAGCTGAGACTCAGGGAGGTTAGAAACTTGCCCAGGTCATCAAGATAAGAAATGGCAAAGCAAAGATTTGAACCCAAGAGTTTTGGCCCATAGCCTAGTTAGTGTTCTTTTCATTACAATATGTACCACCCATAGTCCAAAGCTCACCATTAGATTAATGATAGTTTAATTAACTTGTACTGAGGGAACACCAATGAACTCAGATCATTCTCTTTCTCAACAGCAACAAGAAACTGTCCTCTTACAGAAAAAGTCTGTAGCCCTGAATATCTTTTTAGATATTCAGCTTCAACCTTTGGTCTTGGGCTTGGCCTCCAAATGCATCCCAGGGATCTGGATTGAGATCAACAAGGCACAGACACAGGCTAAGACTTTATGAAAGATTTCTACTGCTCCTACCAACTCTTAGCCAAAGCAGTTTCTTGGATAGAGAGACCAGAATCTGAAGTGTAAACTTCCAAATATCCAATCCTGGTTCAAATAACTCATCTATAAGTCTTAAAGATAATTTTAGTTCTAAACATGTCAATGTTCTCTTTTCTCTGTCCAAGCAGATCATACAAATTAGAAATCAATTTTATTTTACTTTGGTGTTGACTTTGTCTATTTTTTCTGATGGATTTAATGTGTTCAACCAAAGGACCCTGTAGTCTTTGGTTACTCCAGATGTAGATTACTCTTTCTTTCTTTCTTTTCTTTTTTCTCTCACTCTCCTCCACTCATTTGTTGTTTTGGCAAGAAATAAATTCTCTAGGCCAGAAACCAGAGGCCAGAGGAGCTTCTTTAAGGAAGGAAGAGAATTGGATATCTAGGGAGCCAAATTACTTGGTTTACTCAGTCCTTTCTGCTGGAGTTAAGAGAGCCAGCCAGCAGGAATTTTGGAAAGTTTTAATATACCCACTATAGGAAGCAAAGTAGCAAGATTCAAGCAAGGATGGAACAAAGACCATGATGAGTTTGGAGAACTGTGGCTAACCTATCAGTTTGATTGACAGTATAGGTGACTTGAGGTATCTGCACTCTTCTTGAGTGTTGCTCTTATTTGGGGTTTGAATTTCCCCAACTCCTAGATAGGTTTGTGCTTTTTTAATTAAAGTGATTTAGAATTTATCTCCATTGGATCTCATACTTTTTCCTTTATTAGAAGGGTATTAGAAGGATAAGGTAGAGTAGGTGTTGCCTGGGATGAGAAAGGAGTGAAAAGTGAGGGAATCTGAAGTCACACAGAAGAAGTGATGTAGTGTTGGGTCAAGCACAGGCCTAGCTCAGATTGGGGTTAGAAAAGAAACCCTAACACTGCCTACTTCATCTCTATTCCTCCATTCCCCAGATGTTTCAGTCTATAGATAGGACATCTGAAAGAGTGAAAAGCTGTGAGCTTTTATAAACTCAAAGGGAGTAATACAGAGAAATGTGTTTTTCCAACCTCAACACTCCTTCTCTCTTCAATCTTTCTGCAGGCCACTCCATCCTCCTATCTCAGTTCTTCTTTCCTTTGTCTGCTCTCTCCCCTTTGGCAGTGAACATTTTCTCACCCTCCCCCAATGCATGTCTCTCTTAAAGAAGTTACCAGCTGGTTCCCCCCACCCCCAACTTCTCCTGGTCTGCAGCATGGTCTGAAGCAAAGTATGAGTGAGAAGGGGGAGGGGAGCAAGGGTCCTGTGAAATGCTTTGAGCTCTTTCATAGTAGGCAGCTAAGCGGGGCTCACAGTTATCAGAGAAGAGAAAAGCAATGTGGTAGAGAAAGAAAACAGGGGAGGCTGCTGGAGAGAAGGACAAGCAAAGCAAGGGAGAATGGGAGACAGAAAGATAGAGGCACAAAGACAAAGGGATGCCTTTGGGGTCTCTTGTAGAGACTGACTCTGCCTTTTTTTTAGATGATGAAACCTAAGAAGTTTTTAAGGTTGTTTCTGAATCAGTCTCACCTGCTACCTCTTCTAGTTCAATTGTTTATAGAGATCCCTCCCTGAACTCTTGCCCTCCTGGACTTGCCCTAGCCTGGGCCCCAGGCCTCTGGCTAGGCAGACACCCTGACAGGTTACAAATGAGTGTGGGTGTTGGATTGCTCCAAGCCCTTGTCTGAGGAGCCCGTAGGAGGAGACTCAATGGGATTCTCATCTAGTTCCTTCCAGAATCTGAAAGAATGAGGAGGCACTTCCTGTTTCCTTATCCTCAAAAGGAAACCAACAAACACACAGAGCAGAAAGGAGTGACTAAGACCCCTGTCTTGAACTTTAGAATTCAGAGTCTCAAAGCTTCCATACAAGTGCTTATGTTCTCTGAGAAAACTCTCCTTATCATTTCTAGAAAATTAGTTGAAAATATTAATAACCTTTTACGAGTTAAGTGGTACTGAAATTATGGAATTGAAGTTTGAGGGTTTTTTTTTTAAGGGGGCAAAGATGATATGGAGGTAGTGCAGGTGAGAGGACTAGAAATGAGTCGGTTGTGTACAGGGTCCACGCTTATTTTGAACACTCTGGAAATAGAATAAAAATTTCTCTCTGCTTCATCCCCCTGTAAACACCTAGCCCTGTGCTCATTGTAGCTCTCTGGGGAGATATAGTGAGTTATTTAAGTCTGAGTGAGTGAGCCGGCTACAGCTATGGATGGCTAGAGAGAGGATAAATACATCTAGAGAGATGAGTTGATGGATAGGAAGAGAACGAATATAAATATGGAGAGAGATGGACGAATGGAGAGATGGATTGAGACAGAGAGAATATAAAGAGAGGCTGAGGGAGAGAAATGGATGTGTGAATGAGGAGAGAGCATTTATGCAGAGAGATGAAGAGAGGAAAGAGGCGTTTCTTAACCTCACTACATTTCCGTTATTGCCTTGCTTGCTGAAATGCCAGCTCCCCAACCCACACTTCATGAATTCTTCATCTAGATCCTAGAGTCTGCCTCACACCCTTAGGTGGCTTTGTTCCCTGCCCCAGACATCCATTTGGCCCAAGATAACATGGTTCAGCGGGCTGTGCTAGCCCACCACCCTAAGACAAATTGAGAGAAGGAAGCACAGAGTGGCCATTCGGAGCAAAGTAAAGGCGGCTGGATTCTTCACGTCCTGATCTACAGCCGCGGGGAGAAGTCTCCTCTGGGAGATGGGAAGGGTAGGGGGCAGCTGGATTGAATGTGTCCAAATCTAATAACCCAGGAGCCTCCTGAAGGCTTTGGGGGTTGGGAGGGAAGTCTTGAATATTCTTCTAACTTTTCCTCCCTCTCCCTCTGGTCCCTTCTTTCCAAAAGTCTTTGAAGAAAGATGTTTTTGACGCTTCCACGTCGCTCTCAGATGGATGGGCTGCGGGTGATTGAAGTGTCTTTGTCATGCTAATGCTTGGGGGGTGATGGATGGGCGCTAGGGCTGCCAAACTAGGGCCCGCTGCGCCCATTGGCCTGGGAGAGATCACATGCACCCCCCCACTCCCTACCCCCTTCCTAGGGGAGCACGGGCCCAGGGAGCTGGGTCGGACCATGGATGCAAGCCTCAGCCCTGTGACATACTGCCGAAAGGTTGTAGGGCAAGAGGGTGTCTCCCCGAAACGGGCCGACCCTCCTGTGGCCTCCACGTATGGACTATAATAAGATGAACTCCTTCTTAGAGTACCCACTCTGTAACCGGGGACCGGCTTACAGCGCCCACAACGCCCCAACTTCTTTCCCCTCTTGCTCGGCTCCAGCCGTTGACAACTACGCAGGCGAGGCCCGATATGGCGGAGGGTTACCCAGCCCCGGGTTGCAACAGAACCCCGGCTACCCGACGCAGCAGCAGCCTCCGGCACTGGGGATGCCCTTCCCCAGCTCCGCGCCCTCGGGCTACGCCCCGACCACCTGCAGCCCCAGTTATGGGCCTTCTCAGTACTACCCTCTGGGCCAGCCGGAAGGAGACGGAGGCTACTTTCACCCCTCAAGCTACGGGGTTCAGCTAGGGGGCTTGTCCGACGGCTATGGAACCGTAGGAGCTGGCCCGGGGCCCTACCCCCCACCGCAGCCCCCTTACGGGACGGAGCAGACGCCGAGCTTTGTGGCCTCCTATGCGGATCTCCTCTCTGTGGACAAGGAGCCACCCTGCCCGTCAGAGCCCAGCACCACTACGGCCCGGACCTTTGACTGGATGAAGGTCAAGAGGAATCCACCCAAGACAGGTAGAGCTCGGGTCGTCCCCGCCCGGGTCCCAAAGCCAGCTTCGTTGCTCTGCACCGAAGTGGCCTGGACCTGGGCTGGGCACTTCCCTCTGAGCCTCTCTGTGGGCCTCACAGGTTCAGGGGGGTTCCCCACTCAGTGAGTGCCAAGTCACCCCAAAAGGAAGTCTGCACCCCCTTCTGGTCTATGGGCCCTGCACAGGCCCTGGACCTCTGGAGGCGGGGAGTGGGTGGGGATGGGCAATGGGATCACCAAAACTCTGAGATGCTCTGGATGTGGATGGGGTAGGATGCTGCAGATGCGGAGATGGGGGTTGGGTTGGACAGTTGCCTGGTGGTCCGTGAGAACTTTAAGAGCTGGATTTGGACAGAGTGCTGAATGGAGGTGCAGCGCGGACTGGGAAGGGGGAAAGGGTCAGGACACGGAGGTGAGAGAACTCACGTGGCTGTCCCCCCTGCCCCGCCCCTAGCGAAGGTGTCGGAGCTGGGCCTGGGCGCGCCCAGCGGCCTGCGCACCAACTTCACCACGCGGCAGCTGACTGAGCTGGAGAAGGAGTTCCACTTCAATAAGTACTTGAGCCGGGCCCGGAGGGTGGAGATCGCCGCTACCCTGGAGCTCAACGAGACCCAGGTCAAGATTTGGTTCCAGAACCGGCGCATGAAGCAGAAGAAGCGTGAGCGGGAGGGAGGCCGGGCGCCCCCAGCGCCCCCGGGCTGTTCCAAGGAGGTGGCTGGAGACGCCTCGGACCAGTCGGCTTGCACCTCCCCTGAAGCCTCGCCCAGTTCGGTCACCTCTTGAACTAACCCTCCCAACTCAATGGGGCTTCCTGGCACCGGAGCACCTCAGCCTGGCCCTCTCTTCCTCAGCGCTCCCCAACTGAGGCCTCCACTTTGCCAACCCACATAACCTTCCCAAGGCCAGGGGCCTAGTTTAGAGCTGCCCTTGGGGTATAGGGAGTAACCATTTTCTCTGGTCTGGAAGGAGAGAAAATGAGAATATGGTTAGAGACCCCACAAGACAAGAGGAAGAGGATGCTTGACTCTGTTAGATGTGGAGGGAAGGGCCTGCCTTTGACCCTGGGCATCAGCTCTTGGGCACCAAGTGGGTGGAGGTGGGGGAAAGGAGTGGAGCCACATCCTCTTTTCCTTTCCTTTGGAAACTTCCCTTGATTCAGTTCAGTGCCTTTGAAATTCAAAGATTTCACCGATCTTACTAACCTCCCCTTGGGACAGAGGGAGGGTCCTGAATGTCCTTTGGGGAGGGGAGGTATTGGGTGCAGGTAGATTGTTATGACCAATGCTCACTCTCTCCAGTCACCCCAGACCTTACAATAGTACCAGCTGCCTTGTGACAGACCAAAAAGTCCTCTCCGCTAACCTGATTAACTCTCCCCCTTCTGGCACATTTGTATTGCACTAACAGCAGCCTCCAGAGGTTGCTTTCTGAGACCCACATTCTCCCACTAGTGACCTCATTGCCACACTACCAAAGTATTTTGGAAGGTGGAACTCCAGAGACTTCTGGAATGCTGCGCAAAATCTGCCCACAGCAAGCCTGAACCAGGAATGATTGGGCAGCTTCCACAAGACCCTCCCTTATTTATTGCTTCCTGGAAAATCTGGGACCCTTTTCCACCTCATCTCCACCCACATACCGGGAGTAGCCCAGGAAGACCAGCAGCAGCTCCTGTTTTGTGAACCTTGGAGACAACCAAGGGACCGCTAAGTTTCTAGAAACCTGAGCCTGAAGCAAACCAGGTTGGCTCTGTATCTTCGACTACCTCATTTTAATAAAATTGGCAATTCCCACTTTTCCTGTCTTCATCTGCTCCTCCACCAAGGGGTGGGAGAAGCCTCATCCTCCCTGAGGCCTAGGGGAGAGGAAAGAATGAATCCTGCCTAGTGGGGCTGAATAAAGAGAATGACTTACTGGAGTCAGGCCTAAGTAGAACTGGACCCCAGGCATCCAGGCAGGACATTGGTCAACCTACTGGCCATTGAGAAAATGTAGAAATACATGGAGGAAGCTGGCCATGAGGATGAGACAGCTCAGGTGGGGCTCTGAGAGAAAGACAGGAAAAGAGAGGAATGTATCTGGAGAGAACAGAAGGAGAATATGAAAGAGAAGGAAGTGTGGGGGAAGGTGAAAGGACTCCACCCTTATCTCTACCTCCCTTTCTGTATCCTGGAGCAAGGTTTGACAATGAGTGGATGCTCTGCTCAGTAAATATTTGCTGAGGGATAGAAGCATGGGTAGGGGAGAGAGAATGTTCCAGTAAGGGCCTGTGACAAAGTTTAGGTTGGTGTACAGGATCTCTCATACTCCCAACCCAGTGACTTCACCCAGCACCTCCTAGGAGTCACCTTGGAGCCTAAGTCCCTGGGAAACCTCAGGAGCAGCTGGCAAGCCTGGAGAACACCATTCCAACCAGGGCACAAGTGAATGCCCTTGGGCTCAGCAATCACGCTGGATGGCAGGAAGGAGGGAGCCACAAAGTAGCCAAAGGGCCAAGTGGGATTGGGATGCAGGAGAAGGGGCAGATAACTGGAGGAGGGAGAGACATGGAGAGAACTGGAGGATGGCAGAGAGTCTGGGGGTGGGCTGAGGAGAGGTAAACTCAGATCTGGGGCTCTGTTGACCTTTTTACCTCAGAGCGACTCTGGGCTTTCCAAACAAGCCAAAGGCACACTAGCAGGGGTCAGCTATTGTCTCTGGAGGGTCCCACTGACAAGCACTTGGTCAGCGAGGGGGCAGGGGTGGAGATCAGGAAACTCAACATAGGCCAACAAACTACTGTCAGCCCATGGTGCAGTGAGATGACCCTGGCTGTCCACCAGGGCCTGACCACTAGGACCTGGGCCCTGGTTGATTGATTTCAGTAACCTGGTGAGCAGGATGGATCATGCAATAAGTAAGGTAGGTGCGAACTTAGACTTGAAACTTCACTACAGAAATTAAGCGTAAGTAAGTTCCTATTTCCTCACATAGAAGTTACTCTGTTTGTGTCCTTAAGAGACTTTGATTTTGTAAAGAATTTGTGGGAGAAGATGCCAACCATACCAAGAAGCATGCCAACCATACCAAGAAGCGAAATCTTTGATATGGTGTCGGGAAAAAAAGGGAGAAATTGTTCACTACAGATTGACAAGTAAGCACAAGTAAGCCTGTACTTATTGGATAAGCAGACACTCTTGGGGAGTCCTAATACTCTTGATCTAGGGCAGTCTGAGGAGGCACAGTGACCCCAAGAGAGAGAAGTGCATCTCATCAAATCCTCTCTCCCCCAATTTCTTTAATTCTTGACTTTTCAAAGGAAGAGACAGTTAGTGGAAAGAACCAGAAGTGTATGTCAGAAATGCTGAGCATTTGTTTCTTAATGAAATTGGTGCCATTACAGGAGAAGCAATGATATCATTAATTGCGCAGCCAAGCTGGAGAGGGAGGAGTGTATGGCAGGGGGAGATCTAGTTCACCCAGAGGCTACTGACTTGCCCTCTGTCTTAAAAAAAAAAATCATCTATTAACTACTTTTCTTCATTTAATTGAAATTGCCACCAAGGTTGAATCTCTCAAAAGGGAAGAAAATAGAGCAAGAGTCTATAAAAAGGTAGCTCTTTTTACTTGGAACAATTAAATGTGAGCCAATAGAGCCTCCTGGTTGAGGCATTTGTGGGGACTCCAGCCTTTGGGCAAGTGGGTAGAAAGAAGGAAAGCACAGTGGTTAGAGCTGGACTACAACATGATGGAGTTGGGCCTTGACAGGTCCCAGGGGGAGTGGTGATGGAAAGGTCAGGAGGAAAGGAGAAAGCTAGTCTATTTGATTTTTGGTCACAGCAGAAAGAACCATTTGATTCCCCCAGGGATAGGTGAGGGGCAAATCAATCCTCTGTTAACACAGGGGCAGAAAAATATGCAATGAATCTGAGCCTCCCATGGCCTTAAGTGCAAAGATATGCTTTTCTCCCCCATTTTACTTTTCCACTTAGAATCTGAGGCTCCAGATAGGTCTACAAGAACTCAATTTTTGGAGAAAGAAAAGATTGTATTTATTTGCCTATGTTAAATGACAAAGGAGATGATAGTAACAAACACACATAGATGTACAATATTACCAACAACAATACATTTTGTCCCAGTATTGAATCTAAAATCAATTCCAAACTTTCCAGAGTTAAGTACCAATTGCTTTACTCATAGATAATGTCCTTCATGCTTTTCAAATAGCTGTTTTCTATTTGAGTTTCCCCCCCTTCACAAACCTTTAGGGGAGAAATTATATTTATCATATCTGAAAGGGCATTTTCTGCAAAATTTGCAGCCCCAAATTTCACATCTCCATTTGCTACATCTCAGAAAAGCCTGCTGGTAGATAAAAATTTTGAAATTATTCCCTCCCCCGCCACCTTGATTCTTCATGGGAGAGACAAACTAACTCCTCAGGGCTGGTTGAAGTTTGTCAACATTTCTGGGGAGCAGCCCCCAGGCACCTCTGGTTGGGGGTGGTCAGGCCTTCATTCCACCCAACCCTCTGTACCATCTGTTTCTCAGCACCTAGTGTGAAATTTCCCTCTTTTATTTGCCTTTTTCTTTGGCATTTGTTCTCCCAACATGAGGCCCTTTGATCAAGACAAGAAAGAAAAAGAGTTTTAACAAACTCTGAAGTTCTTAAATTTAATTCAAGTTTCTTTGTTATGAATTTCTTGTGCTAAGATCATTGGGAGGCTGAGAATGTGGCCCTGGCCCTGGGTTGGCCAAGTTAGGGAGAAGGAGAGGGTGTAATGTTTGGAAGACTGGATAGATGGCTAAAAGGGAAGAGAATGAAATATACTAGAGAGGTGGATCAAAGAGTAGGGGAAATATCCAGGATATTTGGGTTCAAATCCGCTCTCTGTTGCTTACTAGCATCATGGTCTTGAGTAAGTTGTCCAACTTTCTGGACCCAGTTTCATTATCTGAAAAATAGGAACAAGAATTCAACTTATTGTTGTTGAGAGGGAACCCACTTACAGCTGACCCTCCAGAGGGTTTTCAGAGGCTGTAAATTGCATAGGAGGAAATTGCTCATCTTTCTTCCTTATAGCTACTGGCGGATTCAAAGAGCCAGAAAGGCCTTATATTAGCAGACAGAGCAGCCCCCTAAGGATCATGCCACCAGGAGTCCCCCAGGAATAAGGATAGAGTCTATTTTATAAAGTTGTTGGGAGGATTAGATGTTGTTGTTGTTATGTGCCATCGAGTTGCTTGTGACTCATAGTGACCCTATGTACAACAGCCCTAAACTCTGCTCTGTTCTGTGCCAATCTCATTGCCTCTGACACACTCATCCTGATTGCCCCAGTCACGGAATCAATCCACCTCCCAGAGGGCCTTGCCCTCCTGCGCCTACCCTCCACCCTCCCAAGCATGATGTCCTTCTCCAAGGACCGGTCTTTCCTTACAACATGACCAAAGTATGTCAGACGAAGCCTCAGAATCCTTGCCTCCAAGGAGCAGCCTGGATTAACCCTCTCCAGGATGAATCTGTTTGTTTTCTTAGCAGTCCATGGTACCCTCAATACTCTTCTCCAACACCAAAGCTCAAAGGCATCAATTCGTCTTCTATCCTCCCTAGTAATTGTCCAACTCTCTGGCGCATAACAAGTGACAGCAAAGACCATGGCCTGTATCAGATGCACCTTAGTCTCCAGAGACAGACCTTTGCTCTTCAGTACTTTAGAGAGGTCCCTAACAGCAGACTTTCCCATCGCAATACATCTTTCAATTTCCTGGCTGCTGGTGCCAAGAGTTTTGATTTGTGA